GCTTTTAACTCTCTTAACTCCGCGGGAGCAATTCTATAAGGGGGTATCGAAATGGGGCGAGTACCCGGTTCAAGGTCAATACAGAAATCAATATCCCTATCTGGTGGCATACCAGGAAGATCTGCAGGGAACACATCCAGAAACTCACGGACCACCGAAACCGACTCAATCGAAGGTACTTGGGTAGTGTCATCCTTGAGATGTGCCAAGAAAGCTAAACACCCTTTACTAACCATTTTCTTAGCACGAAGAAAGGAGATGATACGCACCGGATTGAAAGTGTAGTCACCCTCCCACACTAACGGATCTGTCCCAGGCTTGGCTAACGTCACCGTTTTAGCATTACAATCCAAGATCGCAAATTGCGGAGAAAGCCAAGTCATACCCAGAATTACATCAAAATCATCCATTTCTAAGATAACCAAATCTACATAAGTGTTGCTCCCCACAAAGTTCACCAAACAAGACGTATATACCTTTTCAACTACCACAGACTCACCCACCGGAGTAGAAACACGAATAGGCATATCAAGTAATTCACAATGTAAGTTTAGACCATTAGCAAATGAGGAAGATACAAAGAAAATGTGGATCCAGGATCAAACAATACAGAAGCCATGCAATCACAAACCAGAAGATTACCTGTGATGACAGCATCAGATGCCTCCGCTTCAGACCGCCCAGGGGAAAGCGTAACAATGGGCCCTATCGTTTGTCTTTCCATTGCCCCTATCATGTTGTGATGTAGTGGCTCCAGTTTTCCCATCACCTCGACCATTTTGGTGACCACCATTACCTCGACCACCACGTCCTCCAGAATAACGGCCTCTACCATGACCACCTCTACCTCTAGCCATTGGGGGTCTATAACTCTGTTTGGGACAATTCCTCCTAATATGTCCAGTCCCCCCCACATCCATAACACTCTCTAGAGTCAAGCATAGGCCTCTCAGAGAAGTGTTGACCGGTCTGAGGTGGACCCCCAACTACAGTCTGTAGCGAAGACTGAATTGGTCGAACTGAGTAACCTCCGGAACCTTGTCCTCTAGAGTAAGAACCATTAAACTCACCTCCCTTTCGAAACCTTTTTGATGTCGATGTCGTGGTGAAGTCATCTGGCTTCACTCCTTCCACCTCTATCACGAAGTCTACCACCTCTTGGAAGGATTTTTCCGTAGCCTCTACCTGTAAGGCTGAAATCCGCAACTCTGACCTCAACCCCTTCACAAAACGGCGAATCCGCTCTTGTGGACTGAAATATAGTTAGGTGGCATACCGGGATAATCCACGAAACTTAGCCTCATATGCATTGACCGACATCCTACCTTGCTCTAGGCTCAAGAACTCATCCCTTTTCCTATCCCTCAAAGTTCAGGGGATATACTTCTCCATAAACAAGCTAGAGAATGAGGCCCAAGTCATAGGTGGTGCCTCTGTTGGTTGACACTCAATATGTGACCGCCACCACATTTTGGTGTTCCCTTGAAACTGATAACTCACGAACTCAACACCAAACCGTTCTACTATACCCATCTTGTGTAGTAGCTCATGACAATCAACCAGAAAATCGTAAGCATCCTCAGATTCCGCACCCTTGAAGACTGGAGGTTTCAATTTCAAGAACTTACTGAAAAGTTCAAGATGATCATTTGTCGTTATAGGCCCAGTAGTCAGACGTGGAAACGTGCCTATGTCCAATGAGGCATCCATACGAGGAGCCATAGTAGCTGCATGTTGTACCTCTGAAACCGGAGGAGTTGGTGCAGAAAACACTAGAGGTTCCTGACCCTGATCGGACAACCCACTAAGATAAGCGAGCACCTGATTTATCATCTCTGGGGTAGGCTGGGGTGGCAATCCCTCATTCTGCACTTGTTCATTTTCCCCATCCTCCCCTTCTCTTATTACCTCCTCAGTCGGTGGAGGAGTCACTGCCCTAGTATCGGATGGACTAGGTGCTCGTCCTCTTCCCCTAGAGGACGTCCTCCCACGACCTCTACCACGGCCTCTTTCCGCTACTCTTCCTCGAGCTACAGCCCCAGTGGCTGGCTCAGACGCACCCTGTCCCGCTGGTGCTGATGTTGGTGTTGGCGTAGTCGTTGCTCTAGTTCTAACCATCTGCGAAATAGAGTGAAGATGGTCAGATACCAATTTGTATCACCTAGATACCAATTGGACCCAAGTAATAGCACGAAAGAAAGAATGAAAGAATGGAATTTTACTAAAGTCTTATAGCCTCTCAAAGAAAAGTAAAGGCGTCCGCCTACCGTTCTTAAGACTTTACTAGACTCGTTCATGTGTGATGAGACCAACAAACCTAAGGCTCTGATACCAAGTTTGTCACGACCCAAATCCGGGCCGCGACTGGCACCCACACTTACCCTCCTATGTGAGCGAACCAACCAATCTAAACCTTAATATTTCAATATAATATCAACAGAAAGTAATGCGGAAGACTTAACTCATTAATAAAATCAATAACTATTATTATCCCCAAAATCTGGAAGTCATCACCACAAGAACATCTACGATCAAATGACTAAACTAAGAGTATTCTAAAAGCTAAAAATACATAAGAAGCTAGTCCATGCCGGAAGTTCAAGGCATCAAGACTTGAAGAAGAAGATCCAGTCCAAGCTAGAAGCATTAGCTCACCTTGAATTTCCGATGTAGTAAGACTGGCTTGAATTACTGTTGAGTCGAAGACGACGGCACGTTTGCTGCACCCCACAAATAAACAAGAAGAAAACAATAAAAGTAGGGGTCAGTACAAAGCACGGATACTGAGTAGATATCATCGGCCAACTCAAAATAGAAAACAATATATATCGAGTAATATCATAAAATCAACTATGATACTCAACATGTAGCAACAGCAAGTACTATATCATTAACAATTACCGTCAAGTTCACACATGAGGACTCAAGCCTCAATACCATACTCATTTGGGAATCATGTTCATTAGATTGAGTATATTAACATCTTTCAAGATTCATTATCTTTATTTCTCTTGTGTCTGTACGTGACACTCCGCTCCCTCATATTCATTAATCCTCTTGTGTCGGTACGTGACACTCCGATCCCCTAAATCTACGTGTCGGTTCGTGACACCCGATCCCCTAAATCTACGTGTTGGTTCGTGACACCCGATCCCCTAATTCTACATGCCGGTTCGTGACACCCGATCCCCTAATTCTATGTGTCGGTTCGTGACACCCAATCCCCTAATTCTCCGTGTCGGTTTGTGACACCCGATCCCCTAATTCTACGTGTCGGTTCGTGACACCCGATCCCCTAATTCTACGTGTCGATTCGTGACACCCGATCCCCTAATCTCATTCTATCAATTCATCAAGCCTTCTTTTATATCAAGGCATCATCAATCTCATTACTTTAGTTCATCAAGCCTTCTCCCTTACCAAGGCATCATCATTAACAAGAGATTAGGTTTTTATCAAGATTTGGGATTCAATAGCTTCATCATGTTTAATATAATCACAATTATATAATCACGTTCATGCAAGCATACAATTAAGCACATAGCAGGGTTTACAATACTATCAATACATATCATTCTCTATTAAAAGCTTACTATGAAAGCATGAAAACCATAACCTACCTCCACCGAAGATTAGAAATCAAGCAAGCAAATTCCCAAAGCTTTGTGTCCTTTTCGTTTCTCCTCTTTCTCGTTCAACTTTCTCTCTCTTTCTCTTGTTCTTTCTATTTTATTTATTCAAACCCTCTTTCTTTTACCCTAATTAGTGTATAATTAAGGATAAAAGATGGCAATAATGCCCCACTAATTAACTTAAGGTTACCTCTTTTAACCCCCAAGTAATTAGACTTATTAACATTAACCCACTAACTTTATAATTAAGGCAAGAATAGTCAAAAACGTCCCTTAAAACGTATCAAGAAATCCGACCAGGACTGGGATTGCGCAACCTGTGACGGGCCGTCGTGCCTGCGAGGTCCGTCCTGCAGGTCATCGCAAAGTTCAGAGACCCAAATTTCCACCAAGGGTCTGTGACGGTCCGTCTTGCCATTTCGTTACAAAGTTCAGAGAGTCGATTTCAGCACCCAAATTTCAGAATTTCTAAGTGTTTTGGGACGAGACACCCTCGATGGTCCGTCGTGCCCATGACGGTCCGTCGTGGGGTCCGTCGCCTCAGCCTGTTTTTCCAGAAATAAAATCTGCTGCTCAAAACGACTAAACAGGTCGTTACACAAAATATCCGAAAAAACTATAAATCTCAATAAATCAAAGATTTTACTGATTCAATTAGAAAAAAGCCAAGCACACTCTTGTACTCTACATATATGATTATCTCATTCAAACAAATAAAAGTATTGAAAAAAATAACTCGAGTCTTTCAATTAATCACCGGATGTGACAAATTTATGGTCGTTAATTTGAAACATTATGTTTCAAATATATGTCGTATTCAACTTGGAAGCTTTGAAAGTTATATGATTCGGAAAACAAACTAATTTATTTTAGTTATTTTTCTTATATTTTTTTAAGAAGAAAGCAAAAAAAATACTCGACAAAAAGAAGACTATTTATATTTTTTTAAAGCATAACTAATTTGTGTTTAAAATTATTTTTGATTTTTTTTAAATTATTTGTATTCTTTTAAATGAATTAAAATAAAATAAATAATTAATTAATTTCTTAACAAACTAAATAATGATATTTTTAATAAATAATGAAATCATTGCTAAGAAATCCAACTAAAAGCTAAAACATTGTTGTTTTGAAAATTTTCCCTAAAACAATCATACTCATGATCCATCTTGTAAGCTACTTAAACTTTCTCTATAGCCATCAGATTTATTTACTCCTATATTAGAAAAGGCATAATCAACATGCTTGCTTCAAGGTTATTTTGGTCTTTACAATGCTTGCTTCAAGGGTTATTTTAGTCTTTACAATTAAATATATGGCTAGCTGTCTTCTCTTTGTCAAACAATTTTGCCTTTTCATTTTCTTAGCTTACGTGTCTTCTTCTGGTAAAATGGATATGCATGTCTTCCTCCTCCTATGTCTTCCTCCCGATTCTTCATTTATAATGATTCCCTATTTGCACATGGAAGTTACTCTCTTCATCCTTCTCCAGGTAACGTTTTACATGTCTAATTTAAGCTTTCTTTTTCCTTCATCTTCCTTTCAATCGATGTTCAAGTTCCAAATTTGATCTGGGTGTGTAAAATTTTCACTTATTCTTTCGTTTGGAATTGTTATTGATGCGGATAGTCATTGTGATGTTACTGGTAGCTCTTTTATCACTGTAAGGTCCTTTTTAAATTTCCAAAAGTCGGAGTCAAGCGTAAGCTCTGGAAGTCTACACCGATGTTTTCTCCATTCCTTTGACAAAATGCTTGTGCAGACAGCATCTTTTTAATTGATATGCTTTTAATTTTATGGGTTTTTGTAATTTTAATTGATCTGGTTTCAATTCAATTTTGGTTGAGTATATGTTTTATCTTGAATTCCTATTTCAGATTTTTGTTGTGTTTTTTTTGGATGCAGTAAATTTTTGTTGTTTTTTCTTGTATGTAGTTATTAATTTGCTGCTAATTTGATCTTTTTCTATCGCAATTTACTTTGTGGTTTGCTTTAATTGGATTTTCTATATCACAACTCTTTTCAACTTCCTCCATTCATATATAGCTTTTTCCATCTGAATTAATTTTCAGGGTTTTTGTGAGTCGATATTTCTATCGAGTATCGGCAGGACAATTGGCACAAGCCTACAGTCGTTCTACAGGAGGTTAAAACTTTGAGAGAGATGGCAGAGATATCTTTTTGCACATCTCGAATTTTATCTTAACATCATGCAAAATTTTTCTGTACTAATAATATATTTTCAACTATGTTTCTTCCTTCCATAAAACCTGCTTGCTGGAGAGATGATTGTTGGCAGTAGGTATACCAGTCTTTTATTACATTGTTGCTATGGGGGAGAGCTAACTCACATGGCTTTGGTCATAAAGTTCAATAAATTAAAAAACGCAATATGTTCAATAGTAGGTGTGTTCTGCATCACACTGATGTGATCAAGTTTCTAGGTGTGTTCTACAGTTATTGCATTATGGAGTGCCTCATTTTTGTTGATGATGCATCGGGAATAGCTGATCGTACAACGATAAAAGAATATTTCTTCCATATCCATAATTAATGGATATTTCAAGTAGAAGAGCTCACCTATTGTTTCACATTTGAATTTCTCTTACATTCTACGTTCCCGAAATGGATCCTCCGGTAATTTATGTCATGGAAGTAAAAGTGCATTGTTGTGAGCACATCTGTTTCAATCATGTACGAACAGTATCGGTAGAGCTTCCAGTGAAACCATGTGGACCACTTGAACTATCTACATTTAGACTTATAACAACTCTTCACATCTTCTATCTCTGGAATTTCATGAATCTAATTATTCAGTTCTGCATTAATCAGTTGAGGTATATGATTCAGTATCATCTGAAAGTTTGTTGGAATGTGATCCTCAACAATAAATATGTGTAAATTCTTATAGCCTCCTGCACGATATCCTCCTCCTTATCCAGCAAGTTTTCATTAGGATTTTTAATCTTCTTGATTTGTAGTTTATTTCTCTTATCAGTTACATGGGAATGAAAGAACTAGGTGGTCCTATTCACCATTTTGAAACCACTGCTTTCCAGCTTTTTGCTTCCAAAACTTTTTCACCATATCATAGAATTTTATCAGTTCAGCTTGTACATTTTTGTAGCCTCTTCCTGTTTCCATGGGTAGGATTTTGTTCAAATTCCAGCTCATGGACCTTATCTACTACTTCTACAGTTTGCTAGCTGTTTCAGTGTGTCACCATAAAAATTTCTACTCCTTTTAGACAATGCCTTACTGACCTTCGTCAAATTATTATGTACAATAACCATACGGTCTGGACCAAAGTTCCTTGACCAATTCTGTCTGACTACCTCCCAGAATGTCTTATGTTCCACCCAAAAATTCTTAGTTACTCTACTATCCTCTTTGTAATGCGTTAAGAGAGGTGCATGATTAGATCCTTGCTTAATTAAATGTGCCACTTCCAGGTTAGGAAAATACTCATATCTGATTATGCAAACATTTGTCCAGTCTTTTAGAAATGCAAGTTTCATCTGATCTACCATTTAATCAAGGAGCATGCTACCAGTGAAGTGACTCCCATATATGATAATTGACATTCCTTTAGGCAGTAAGAAGTCTTCATTTTCAGCCCACCAAACTTATGATATTCATCCACAAGCACATTAAAATCTTCCCTTACCAACCAAGGAGTTCATATATGAGTGTTCACATACCAAAATGAAATTGGTGAATAACCCTAAAATTTCTTGACTGAATGCATTTCAATATCAAAATTAGAATACAAAAATGGTTGTACGAACTGTAATAGTAGTTGAAAAACCTCCCATCCCGAGTGGGCTTAAGCCATGCCTTTACTAAAGAATTCTCGATCTTCTATCACCAAAGAAAAGGCCATAAAATAATTGAACTTATTGCTCTACGGTTGTCTTCTTTTCTTTATGTATGAAAAACCTATGTATTTTCGCATGCAGTAACTTTTGGTTCTCTTTTGTCAGATGTAGTGTTAGTTTGTTCATCCAATTCAAATTTTTGGTTGTCTTCCTCTGTTTACGTATGAAAAACCCATATATTTTTACATGCAGTAAATTTTGATTGTCTTTTAATCGGGATGTATTTGAGCTACAAAACTCTTCCTGATTATCCCCATTTTAAGTATATGATTTTATTCTCCTTTACCATTGCAAGTGTAGCTCTTGATGATCCTCCAAAAACATACGGCTTAGATTAAGATTATGTGGTGTGAGAATTTTCATTTTATAATTGATTCATCCTGATTCTTAGGACCCGGTTTTTTTTCCTTCTTTTCCTCAATCTATGTGCTGCAGATAATTTTGTACTTTTTTAATTTACCACAAATCTGCACTGTGTAAAATGTGTTCTTCTTCTTGAATTCATTGTTGCAGAGACTCTTTCAAGCCCAAAGGCCTTTCGTGATTTTTCGATAAAAGTATGAGCTCTTTCTTATTATGGTTTGAGTTCTTCGTTTGACTTGATGTGGGGTTCAATTTAATACTGTTTTGTTCTGTGTAGTTGGTGACTTGGTAGTTTGTTTAGTTGGTTTAATATTGGGGTTACTTTATTGATTCCGAGTTTAACGATTCAAACTTTATGCTTTTATGTTCTGTTTTAAGTTATTTTCATGTATTGTTTCTGCTTAGTTGAGCTGCTATATGAATTTTTTTCGATCAATATTTTACATCTATAGTAATTAAAAAATTATATACGCATACTACCAAAAGAATTGAACTGTTGAATCCAAAACAAACAATAACTGAGAAGTCAATACAAGGACAACAAGTTTTCTTCCATCAGTAATCGCCAACATTAATCAAAAGTTATCCAATAATTAGAAAATGGTAAAGAGATACATACTTTAGCCAATATAAGGAGATCTTTGTATGCCCATCGGTGTTCATAATTATGACTGGAACTCCTATATCTTTCCAAATGAACCTCACTGGACCATTTTCAAGTGAGACCACCTGCAGAATTTTGGAAGATCATAAGTGCCCAAAGAAATGGCCATCTCTTGTAAGAAGGGGCAACTTTTCCTCAACATGTGTGTTTTATGTCTCTATATACATACCTAAACACTAAAACATACAACTAACATCTTACAATATGTTAGTTGAATATTTAGTGGCAAAAAAACACAAGTAAAATATGTGAATATCCAATGTTTCATATAATATTAGAGTATATGTATACCATATTTTGCATTTGTAAATGAAGCACGAGCCATTATTTATATATACAAATGTTAGGCGAGTTTGTCATACAATATTTATATATATATATATGCCAGAATAGAAAGAAATATGTAGGTTGTAGGAATTAAGTTTATTCACCCAAAATAAGTTAATAAATTAAATGCTGCAAATCACAGCAAAATTATGGACAAATAAGACTAAGCAACATTTACTCCTTCGTGCTGGATTTTTTTTTGAGGGAATCTGAACAGTAACTTTTTAGAACATACATCATTGAGATGAACTTACATACATGTCCTGCTGTATTGCATGAAGCATCTTTTACAGTGCCGAACATAAGTTTAACATTTCCATGTTGCCCATTCTTAAACGACTAAGTGTCAAAAAGCTGAAAGTCAATTATCAGGCATCTTCCTACAATAAGCTGAGTTGATGTCAGTGAATTATGCCAGTCTTTTTATTTCTCTAGTGTTCTACTGAAGTCTTCTTCAATCCCTTTTACCAATTCCAGATACTTGATCATCTCTCCAAGTATATACAACTAATCTAATCACTTCTCCTTTGATAATTCATTTTGAGACACATTTGTGATTTCCTTACATTACAAGATTTAACGATTTCAGATCACACATTATCAGCGTCACAATATCTAATGGTGATTTTAAAAATACACATGTATTCATTCCTAGAATACCACTACTAACATCAGAAGATGAAAAGTTACCTCTACCATTTAAAAGGATACAATTTCCAATACGATTGTGTTTTGCAATGACAATTAATAAAGCACAAGGCCAAACTTTAGATTTTGTTGGCATTTATTTACGTGAACCAGTCTTCTCTAATGGTCAATTGTATGTTGCTTTATCAAGAGCCAAGAGTTCTAATTGTGTTAAGATATTGATAAGGCCACCAATAGCTGATAACAACAATGACACATCTACATATAACATTGTTTATGATGAAATTATAGAAAAAGCTTTTTCGTAAAAGTATCTTACACTTTTGATAGGTAAACAACCTATTGTATTCTATTATTTGATCTCATATATTTTACTATTTCCTACCATTATTCTTCTATTAATGATGATGTCTTGCATATTTAATCCCAGTTACCAGCCATGACAGAAAGACTGAATATCAACGAAATCGACGAGAACACAGAAGAATGGATTTGTAAAGTTCAAGTGGTAGATAAAGGTCATCCCCGAACCACCAGGGAGGGAAACAAGAAATATCAATTGATGATATTACAGGATGAAGAGGTATTTATCACTAAACTAATAAATACTCTATTATTCTTCAGATTAAAGAATACCTTGGTGGGTTTTGAGGGAATTTTTAAAATAGACCTTTTATTGTTGAATACCATGGTTATAAACATCAAGATTGTATTTTTTTTGTGTGTTGTGGGGTTGAATTTGATTTAGCTCACAGATTGATAGCTTTTGTGGTTGTTGGATATATTTTTTCTTTTTGAGTGGTGATATACCGTGGTTTCACGGTATAATTAATACTTTTTCCTTAAGTTTAGTGTGTCCGAAAGCCTTGTTTATGCTAATTTTGATATAAGTTTCCCTTTGTTTTGCAGGAAATCTGTCCAAAGCTGAATGCGGAAATTTTGAGCGAAAATTGCAGAAGAGACCACCTAAGGAGCTTATGACAGTCCTTCGTGCTTGTGACGGTCCGTAGGTGGCAGCGTAGAGAAGCTGCTGAAGGAAGATGGAGAAGTCTGACCAAGTGTGGGATTACGAAGCTTGTGACGGTCCGTCATGGCTATGACGGTCCGTCCTACAGGTTCGTCGTGAAGATCAGAGAAGTGATCCCAGTACCCAGATTCCAAGAGTTGAAGTATTTTGAAACGATACCCTTGACGGACCGTTGTGCCTATGACGGTCCGTCGCACTTGCTGTCGAGGGGAATGAAGAAATCAGCAGAAGAATTGCACAAGTATGGGACGACGGAGTCCACGACGGTCCGTCATGACCACGACGGTCCGTCGCGTGGTCCGTCGACCCAGCTGCGTTTTGGCAGATTTCCAGTAATTAGAATCCTTGTTTAATTAGATTTTTATTTTTTATAAATAGTTCGAAAAACCTCACTTTTGAGGTTAGACTCTGTGAGATTAAACATCATATTATTAGACTTTGTGTTTTGAGTGTTTGATTGTTAGAGATTCTTACAAGTGATTTTTGGTGATTAATCAAGCAAATTTTTGGACTTTATTCTTTCTCATTGAAGTAAGTACATGAATTCTTGTTTAACATATTTGAATATTGTGTTTATGGCTATGAGGAACTAAACTCCATAACTAGGGTTGTGGGAACCATAGGCAAATAATGAGATAAACCCTAGCTAAAATAACAATTCTAGAATAGTGTCTTGCATGTATTAATAATTCTTTCGCTTAAA